ACCAGCAACCCACATTTTAAGGGTTTAAGTTTATCAAAAAGTTTCTTAAACCGATCATTGGTCATCACCACATAGCCATCCAATTCACGGTCTGTTTTAACACATGAGGCACAAGTCCACGAAAAACGAACACGCAGATTAGTCTTTTACACTGCCAACAAGTCCAATACACTTAAACCGTCATAAGGTTACGATCCAAACTGACAATCTTTTTTGGAACAAAAGAGACCCATTTTTAAAGGTATTTTAGATATATACATTTAAAATGTAAAGAAAATTAAGAATAAAAGGGAAGTTTGATTTATAAATACCTCACTCAATTTGTTATTGGGATCAACAAAAGTGAAACTGTAGACACACAAACACACAAAGGTATAAAAGCCGTAGAGACTGCGACAGCGAGAGAGTGGCTATTGACTGAGCGTGGCTTGCAAAACACAAACAAAATATACACGACAACAGCTTAAACGACAAGAAACGGGAGAGAAATAACAGAAAGCTGTGGAAAGCAAAAAACAAAAGCTATTGAAACAAATACACCACAGTGTACGGAAGTTACAATAACAAAATGGACAGGCTAAAATCAGAAATTAGTTTCGTTAAAATTTATCGAATAAAATAAACAACAAGGAAGATCGCTATAGTCGAGTACCTCGACTATCAGGCACCCGTTACTCAGCTAAGTCAGGGACCAAAGGGAAATGGAGATATGCAAGCAGTAAAGCGAGATTAAAAAGCGCCACCTACCGGCGGTAGACAAATTTTTTTTTGGATCAATCGATAGGTGTTGACTAAACCAATACATTTCAGATATAATTTTTTATCTAGCATGAAAATTGTGGGCGTCATAGGCTTGGGCGGTTTGTGGGCGTTAGAGTGGTCGTGGCAAACGATGGAATCAATCGATAGGTATTAATGAGAGCAATACATTTCAGTTAAAATTTTTTTTCTACCTTGCAAATTGTGGGCATTATAGTGTTGGGCTTTTTTGGGCGTTAGAGTGGGCGTGGAAAACTTCTATTTAGGTCAATCGATAGGTATTGAAGAGACTAATACATTTCAGTTAATATTTTTTTCTATTTAAGTTATTAGGGTAGTTAGAATTAGACTAAGAAACAGAACTATAAGTAGATTGGATGAATTCAGCAAATTGATCTGCAATTTCGGGATCCGTAGCTGCCTCAATAGAGTTTAATCGTACCAATAATGGCAATGCTGAAGACTTTCGCTTAGCATTAACAAAGTTATAAAACTGCCTCGGATCCTTTGAAAATTGAAATTTAAGTCGGATCCAGGTGGAATATAAGAACATGTTACAAAAATAGAATAAGATTGCAAAGAAACTTTAAAACCAACGAATTCTATGTCATTGTGATTAGGAAAGTATATTCTCTCCGATATTAAAAAGGAGGTAGTGGCAACCAGCAACCCACATTTTAAGGGTTTAAGTTTATCAAAAAGTTTCTTAAACCGATCATTGGTCATCACCACATAGCCATCCAATTCACGGTCTGTTTTAACACATGAGGCACAAGTCCACGAAAAACGAACACGCAGATTAGTCTTTTACACTGCCAACAAGTCCAATACACTTAAACCGTCATAAGGTTACGATCCAAACTGACAATCTTTTTTGGAACAAAAGAGACCCATTTTTAAAGGTATTTTAGATATATACATTTAAAATGTAAAGAAAATTAAGAATAAAAGGGAAGTTCGATTTATAAAGACCTCACTCAATTTGTTATTGGGATCAGTCAGAAGTTTGCAACGCAGTGAAGGACACGTTTCCGACACCATTAAGTATATATATTCTTGATCAGCATCACTAGACAAGTCGATCTAGCCATGTCCGTCTGACCGACCGTTTCTACGCAAACTAGTCTCTCAGTTTTAAAGTTATCGGGGTGAAACTTTCCCAAAAGTCTTCTTTCTTTTGCAGGAAGTATATAATTCGGAACCAGCCGGATCGGACAACTATATCGTATAGCTCCCATAGGAATAATCGGAAAAAATAATTTAAAAAAATTATACCTTTGGTGTTCTTTAACATATAAATAACACTTTTCAATTATTTCCGAATTTTGAATATAATTTTTTTCAAAATCGGACCACCATATCACATAGCGGAGAAATAATATGAAACTATAATACTTCGGTGTTTTTTGACATATTATCTTATACTATTGGGAATATTATTTTATGTATTTTTAAGATTTTCAAAGTAAATTTAATTATTATAGCTTCAAGGATATATAAACTTCGAGTTGCCGAAGTTAACTTCCTTTCTTGTTTTCAATCACTTAAACTGTAGGAGCTTTTGTTTTCAGCGGTTTGTGGGCATGGAGTGGTCGTGGCATGTTCGCTCAACAAACTTGCGCTGCGTACGAAAATAAGGAACGTAAATCTGAATTCTCAATTATCGAAATCTTATAGTTTCTGAGATCACAGCATGCACACTGACAGACGGACGTACGGACTTGGCTAGATCCTGATGAAGAATTTATGTACTTTATGGGGTCGGGGATGCTTACTTCTACCTGGTACATACTTTTCCCCGAATACAATATACCCTTTTACATTACGAGTAACGCATATAACAATTCTTGTTTTTATAATCGTGCCCAAAAATCATGGACGCAATGGAGTTGTTTGAGAATAGAGCGCACGGTTTCGCTAAACGATCCTCTTCAGAATGAGGATAGACCAATTCGTCTGAGTAATGAGTATAAAAAAAGGATATTTATTGTAGCATTCCTACAAGGAACATTTTTTAATGATTTATTGACATTTTTCTAAATAAAAATTGTCATTACTCTTACAAGTGCTAAATTTTCCGCCATACTTCTTTGCTATCATTCTGAAGAGAAGAGTACCTTTTTGGGATGTATAAAATTTGCTCTTCCATCTCGAGAGCAAAATATTCACCAACCTGTGTTTTTCCATCCGCCTTGAGGACTGATTTTCAGGCATCCTTTCCTTAGATAGCAGAGTCTTTTTATTAAATTTATAAAATTCCTTAAAAAAAATGTTTATGTTGCCTTCGTGACTCGTGTTTGTGGTACCAAGCTGGTTTTTGTTGGTATCAAGTTGGTTTCCCGTGGTATTAGCTGGTATAAAGCTATTATAAGTTGTACATGTCAAAGCGTTGAACTCTATCTTAATGGTATTGTATTCTATCCCCACAACTTCTCTCGGTGGGTGTAGGTTTCCATATCTATAGAAATAACAAGGAAGAACGCTATAGTCGAGTACCTCGACTATCAGATACCCGTTACTCAGCTAAATAGAGATATGCAAGTAGCAAAGCGAGATTAAAATGCGCCACCTACCGGCGGTATACAGATTTAAGCGTTATGGCCAATACATTTCAGTTAAAATATTTTATCTAGCATAAAAATTGTGGGCGGCACAGGTTTTCGCGGCTTGTGGGCGTTAGAGTGGGCGTGGCATATTCGCGTGACAAACTTGCGCTGCTTATAAGGCTACGGAATCTAAATCTGAAATCCCAATTCTCTATCTTTGATAGTTTCCGAGATATCCACGTTCATATTTACGATTTTTTGAAGTTTGTGGGCGGTTTATGGGCGTTAGGGTGGGCGTGGCAAACTTTTTTTGGGTCAATCGATAGGTATTGATGAGACAATTACATTTCAGTTAAAATTTGTATTCTAGCATCAAAACTGTAGGAGCCACAGTTTTGGGCTGTTTGTGGGCGTTAGAGTGGGCGTGGCACTCTACTGAAACAAACTTGCGCTGCGTAAGAAGCTCAGGAATCTTCACGCCAAATCCCAATAGCCTAGCTCCCATAGTTTCCGAGCTCTCAGCGTTCATCCGGACAGACAGACGGACTGACGGACAGACGGACAGACGGACATGGCTAGATCGACTCAGCTAGTGATCCTTATCAAGAATATATATACTTTATGGGGTCGGAAACGTTTCCTTCTGCCTGTTACATACTTTCCGACGAATCTAGTATACCCTTTTACTCTACGAGTAACGGGTATAAATACTCCCTTTTACTAAACGAGTACAGAATAGAAAAACAGACAAATGTAAAATATTTTAGATAGTTATACCCGTTACTCGTAGAGTAAGGGGGTATACTAGATTCGTCGGAAAGTATGTAACAGGCAGAAGGAAGCGTTTCCGACCCCATAAAGTATGTACGAGTATATTCTTGGTCAGGATCACTAGCCGAGTCGATCTAGCCATGTCCATCTGTCCGTCTGACCGTCTGTCCGTATGAACGTTGATATCTCGGAAACTATAGGAGCTACAATACTGGTATTAGGCATGCATATTCCTGAGATTCCTGCGTTGCGTAAGTTTGATTCAGATATGTGCCACGCCCACTCTAACGCCCGCAAACCGCCCAAAACTGTGGCTCCGTCAGTTTTGATGCGAGAATAAAAATTTTAACTGAAATTTATTGTTCTCATCAATACCTATCGATTGACCCAAAAAAAGTTTGCCACGCCTACTTTAACGCCCACAAAAATTGTAACTGAAATATATTTGTTTCGTCAATTCCTATCGATTGATCCGAAAAAATATTGCCACGCCCACTCTAACGCCCACAAACCGACCAAACCTGTGGCGCCCACCATTTTCATGCTAGATAAAAAATTTTAAGTGATATGTATTCGTCTCGTCAATACCTACCGATTGATCCAAAAAGAGTTTGCCACGCCCATTCTAACGTGCATAACGGTTGAGTCTGTCTATTACCATTTATTGAGATCACGGGAGGTGGTGCATTTTAATCTCGCTTTGCTGCTTGCATATCTCCATTTCCCTTTTTCCCATTAGCTGAGTAACTGGTATCTGATAGTCGAGGTACTCGACAATAGCTTTCTTCCTTGTTTTGTATTTAGGAGCTGCACAACATTGAACACAAATCTAAAATCGTTTTGTCATTTATAAGACACCTTAAATTTAAATTTAATTTATATCCAAAGTAAATACAATCTTTCTGTTATGATTTTTCTTTCCAGGGTGAATCTAATGAAGCGAGAATAGCTGTTGCTAATCAAAGGGCCCATCAACTATTAAAATAATGAGACTTTAAGGCGGCGAATACATATTCATAAACATAATAACAACTTATTAAAATTTAATATTTCGATTTGTGCGTGTGCTTCTGATTTGTGTTGTTTTCCTTCTTTTCACCCTATTTGTGCTTCAAAAGTTATAAAAAAAAATTGTACACTCATTAAAAATGTAATATTACGTTACCCAAGAAACCTAAGCAAACTTACAACTTTATTATTATGTATTTATATGTATGTAAATGTATATTTTACTAGATTACTAGATTTTACTAGATTAAGATTAAACACCACAATTAATAGCACAGGTCGAAAAAATTTAGAGACTTCCTTGACGAAAGACCAAATGCTACAAAACATGATATGATTTTATCTGTAGATTGCGAATGCTTGCCTAAAAACTTTCCATCACGTCATAGCTTTCAAATAAATATTTGACGTTTGGGCACTTTTTAAGGCTTATTTAGAACTAAACACCACTTCAGTTGTCATTAAAAACGCATTTTTGTGGGAATTTTTTATCTAATATTTTTTTTTTGTAAAAGTTGAAACCAGACACTCACAAGACATTGATAGCTCCAAGTGCAGAGGAAAAACAAAAACAAAAATATATTTAGATAAATGCAGTTTACTCAAATAAGCAGAAATTCCATAAGAAGTGCCTTAACGAGCAGTATTTGGTGTTTTGACCAACAATTTTTCAAAACTGTGACATGGTGGGAAGTTTGGGGTCGTAGATTTTGTAATTTTTATGATTAGCGTAATTCGTAACACGATTATAAATAAAAAATTTTTCTTGGTTTTTAAAAAACTAATTGAAAAAGAATATTTTTTTTCAATATGGAAACATAATATTGTATGTATAATATTTATAAATAGATGTGAGCGCGTGTCTAAAGATGATAAGCCATTGGTAAATTGTTAGTTTAAATTTATTATGTCCAATTACGGTCATTGCCTTGAGCAGGACTTACGCAGTGTATCGCCGGAACTCGCCTTTATTGTGAATCAAATTTTGTAAACGCTGCAGAATTTTTTTTAAAAATTAGAAACTTTCCCAACTATTTCGTATGCTGTAAGCGACCTTTATGTTTATTATCTGTAATTTGTAAAATGTAACTTTTTGGTTGTCATGTAAATGAGCTCCTATGCATCGGATACACAGATGCCCTTCAGATTTACAAGCCTTGGTTTTTATTTTCTTTTCTATTTGGTAATTTAGTAATAAGCCACAAAAACGTGTTTTGATAAGTAACAAGCAGTGTTAGATCTTAAAAAGTATTAAATTGTATGAATACAACCTATATTTATTTTGGTTTCCATTATCAGTTACATAATAATATAAAATTATTTAAAGTAAAAGCACAAAAAGGTATTACGATAATAAAATATTCCTTAGAATCCTTTAAATCAAAACCATACAAGTACCAAATAAACCTTAACATTAATAATTGGTTCTAGTAACATTTTTTGCTCACTTCAAAATGTTATTAGTTCCTTCTGCTGTGTGTTAAGACATATTTTTAATTTAAATATTAATATGAACTTAAATAAATTATCGGTCAATGCAAAATAATTTAAAACTTAGAGCTTGTCTGTTGTGGCTTGGTGGAGTAGAAAAGGACGGGAGAATCCATAGGAAATAAATAGATGACAAGCTTTCCCTTTAGGTTCGACATGATATGCGTAAGTATTTTTTTTACATCCTAAAAAAATTATAAATTGGAGTCAATTTTAGCTGAATTTAACTGATGATTTAACGTAACGTTGCTATGTCATTTTCTTCAGATCGCATATTAATGTTTATAGTTTATCCTGTTGTGTGAGTCAGCCAACGGGTTCACGGTGGGACTAACCTGCCATATCTGCTAGTGTGACTATAATTGATTGATTGGGCATAAGGAATCCTCGCCAATTTCGAGGCGTAGAAAGTTTGAGCTGAACCCGACCATAGCACCAAGGCCCCCAAGAACTGCAGGCATGCAAGCAACGCTCCACTGAGCAGATTGCTCAGCCTTCAATCGACCTAAGGCACAGCCTAAGCAGCTCTTCTTCGTCGACGTTGCGAAGGGTATGACCATCGATGGGATCCTAGGCAGGTCCCATAGTGATGGGCTCTTAGTCAGCTGCTGGATCGTTTTATGGAAGAAATGCGCATTCCCCCTATGTATCAGGCCAATGTCAGGTGGCCCGTCAAGATGTCTATGCCGTGATCTTCTGTAAAAGGTTGGTTTTATCCCTGGGGGAAGCCAATAAAGGAGCCGAGCTGGAAGTGGTGGGATAAGACCCCCATCAAATCCAGGGCCAGAGCCTGATTTTTGAAAAAGCCAGCAAAACCGGAAGGGATCTGAAGGTTGAGTAGACAGAGAGCACCAAGAGTTTGGTTATGTTGTCCATAAACGAAGAGTCCAGCAAGTTAATTCAAGTAGCTGAACGCCGCGTGCATTACCGATGAAAGAAGCCGACTCGTGAAGACGGGGCTACGTCCCATAGGAAAAAGATCTGGCAAGATATATGCAAGGAGTCGAGGTCGATGGCGACTTCTTTTCCGAGTCGCACTTGGAAGGCGAAATCGCAGTGGTGGAAAATATCATTCAAGATGTTTCTGACAATGCTGGAGATCCATCTCAGACGTCGTCCTGATTCAGGAACCCGGTAGCTCAAGAGACAGGGTATCTGGACTGGGCCCACCAAAATACCTGCTGTGCATGGCTAACTTTGCAGGTAGAAAAACCTTAACCTCTTCCTACTACATACGTGATTTCAGTGATGACGACAAAGCAGCGTCAGTCAAACCGCCGACAGCACAAGATACAACGGAAGGTAGTACAGGCTTTGTTTCATCTGCCATTTTCATCATGATTCCAATAACATCTGAACATTGACTCTATTTTCATATCCTGTTCTGTGTGGGAAATGGATCCAACCTCCATTTGCAAGAGAGATAATTGTTTATTGAACTTTGTATTATAATTATCCCATTTTATTAATTTTAGTAATAAATTCGTACTTGAAATAATCATAATTTAATGTAGCTTCATTAAAAAAAATATTTATATTAATTTTTCCGAAGCTAGATTTATTTCACAAGGATTCTAACATAGATAGACTGGCTTAGTATCTTCTCACCGAAATCTTTTTTCTAATTCCAAATGACCTACTGTTAACTATTTTCTCAACAACTGATAAATGCTATTTGGTGCCGTTTATAACTGTGTTTGTCCATTTAATAGTATTGTTTATGCCTAACCGAAGTAGACACTTCCGGGTCACACCGCGGGACAAGGGGGTAATGAGCACTTGTCGCTGGCACGGGGACGCTATGATGGCAGGACGATCGCGTCGCGGCAATGGTAACGATGGTTACTGCGATGCCGGACCACAGGCGATGCTGACCTGCGCTGAGGGTGAGCTAACGTGGTTAGCTGCTAGTTGAGATAGTGTATTACGAGCCCTATTCCCAGTTGTAGGAAGTAGAACCGCGGAGTTAAGAGGTGTGTTGATAACTGTTTTATTCTTCATTTGGAACATGTTTATATACTACTTGGAACACGGAAGTTTAGTGTAATGATTAGTGAAGTAAGCTATATTCTAAAGTAGATCAGGGAATTATGATTATGGTAGCAGTTTTCGTAGTTGGCTTTGCGTAGTTGGCTGACACTGCAAAATGTGCTGACTGCATTGGCCGGTCAGTGTGCCGTTGAGTCGGTGAGACGGTGAGTTAGTGAGATCAGCAATTCTCATATGCAGTGGGTGCTTCTGAGCGCCTGGTACTGTTCCCAACTTGGCTACTGCTTGATTTGTTGGGTGTGGTCATGTTGAGTACCTTTGGGTACGAACATTCTCCCCCCCATTGAGGCTTACCCTCAATTAGGTCATGATGTCGGTCAGCCCTTGACCGAATTGTATCGGAAGCACCTAACAAATCATTGACCAAGGTGGATCGTTCCTTCAACTGAGGTTCATGTTTGTGATTCAGGTCCTTCACATCTTCTTGATGCTGCTTAACACTTCCCTTTGCGATAAAATTGACATTACCGTGGGGACTGAAATTGTGCCCTCGTAGAACTTGATCATTTGGCACGTCTATGGTATGTGGACGTTCTGCAACAAAACTAAGATCTTTCTTGGTTAAGTTTAGAAATGGTGAACCAAAGTCAGCCTTCTTGTAGGTTTTGAATTGATGAGAAGTCGGTTCTATATTCATCGGATTTTTATCTTTCGTTGGTTCATAAGCAACGTTCGGTCCTGCAAAATCACCTCTGCCTTCTACCAGAATAGGGTTGATTTCCGTATCAGATGAGGTTTCTTTATTAAGATAACCTGTGATTACATAACCAAGCCTAGTGCCTTATGCCAAAGGTTTATTAGGTCCTAGTTCAAGAAGTTCTCCGGTTATTACACGAGAATACACCTCAGCCCCTAAGGTTAGGTCAATGGGTCCAGGTTGCCGAAAGTCAGGATCTGCTAACGGCAGTCCCTCGGGAATATTAAGATCGGTTGTAATCGGTACTGACGGTTGGTCTGTAATGACTGTGGGCATAATAAATACCTCTAGTAGTTTTTAAAACCCTGATGTACATGATGAGAGCTTTAGATCTAATTGCTGTTGATATCTTTCCTCCGATTCCAGATATTTCAATCGGTGACCTTTCCTTAAGAGATAGCAGATCTGCCATTCTCCTTGAGATAAGATTCACCTGTAATCCACCATCTATTACAGCGCGACATGTTTGTAATTCACCGTTTGGCCCTTGTAATGAGACCTTGGCGGTCGCGAGCATAGTATATCCTCCTACGTGGTCGTAGCCTGCAGTGGTTACTGCGCCGGCCACTGGATTGCTAGTCGGTCCTTAGTGTAACAGTGAATGATGCCGTTGCTGGCAGACTCGACAAGTGGTCGGTGATCCACAGTTTTCAACCTTATGAGCTGTAGACAAACAATTTGTGCATGCTCCTACTTGAACAATGGCTTGACGCCGTGCTTTGGGGTCCATTTGCTGGATACGGCTACATGCTCTAAAATTATGTTGTCCTAGGTGACAAATCTTACAGCTCTCTTCGTTGGGAACTGACTGATGGCGGAGTGTTGCTGTAGGTTGAGCGCTTATCGTCTCCAGTATGCAAGCGCGCCGCTCAATAAACGTCAGAACACTCCATAACGTTGGAATTTCCGTTGGTGCATCCGCTGAATTTTCTAGAGCAGCTAGAGACTGGTGGTCTAGTTTTCTTCTGATAAGAAAACACAGGATTGGATCCCAGGATTTTGTGCTGATATCGAGGTTTTTAAGAGTATTCATTGAGTTTTTTATAGTGTCATGTAAGGCCCTTAGTTGGCGCGATGAGCCGTCTATAAGCCTATGGTCAATCATTTTTGCTATAGCTGCGAATACTAGTATTTTGCCGTTCTGGTACCTGGCCTTCAACCGCAACCAGGTGTCGTCATAGCCACCCTGTGAGAAGGCTGTGTCTCTCAAGACGTTCCTCGCTTCACCACGAAGCGAACTCTGTAGAATATGTAGCCTTTGACTGGCCGAATATGGTTTGTTATGTACCAATTCCACAAAGAGATCATGGAACCGTGGCCAGTCTAGATACTCGCCGTTGAACTCCGGAATGCTAATTGGCGGAAGTGCCAAGTTTAGGCTCATTGGCGCGTCGTTTTCTCGTAGCAGGTTCATTTCGTATTCCTCGTATAATGTGTGGAATTGGGCTAGCTCTGCCTCTGCCAGAGCTGCGGCCTCAGGTGTGCTATCCAATTCGTCGTGGGCTTGCCTCAGTAA